TAAAATGTCTTCGTCGGTAATTGCTGAGGACATTTCGTCGTATACGGTAAGGTTTCATCATATTAACTAGAACTAACAATACTGCATACTCAAGCTTTGTTTAAGAAATATAGGACAGAGACACAAGCGGCCGTTTTATATTTCTTTAATAACATTTTTCGAGCGAAAAGAAAATTTTGCCGGTCTCTGTCCTCTGATATAAACACGGTCGTCAGCCAATCAGAGCGCGCGTTATATATCAAAAATTTTATAAATAAAATAAGATAATGAGGAATCAATGGCTTTATCGGTATTGTAGCTAAAGACTAAAGTCTAATCTTTTTGAAATTGTGTGACAATAGTAGTGTAATGTTCAGCATGCAGTGTTCAAAATGCACAAAACGATTTTTGAACTCTTGCGAGTTTCTTATTTTGTTTTGAGGTTTTTGGGTTTCTTTTCCAAGAGTTAAATTCTTGCATTTTAAAAGGGATGACTAAGTAAACCTTTCATATGCGTTTCATATGATTACTGCAACTATATTTGTCATTACTTAGTAAGTTAAGCTAGTACCACAAGAATTTAAGTACTAGACATTGAAAGTCAGCCAAAGTTTATAAGGAACATGAAGTGTACATTCTAAACACATTATGCTGGGAGTCATGTGACCACACCTACCTAAATCAATAAGCAATGACAAAATGATGTTCAAAAATGGAAAGAGGGGAACAAAATAAGTAAAATAAATATTTCAGAATTGATAGCAAATATAAAATCATTGATGTTTCTAAAGAAACATGCAAAATCAGAACTGAAGGAGCAAGGCTAGAAAAATCAATATTTTACATTTGCTTTTATTTTTGAAGTATTTAGAGACTTGAGACTTTGCCATTTTACCAACATAAACCTGCTTTTTTGATAGCTGATTGATTTAACATAATACCTTTAGTAGTTATAACAATTTTTTATATTCCTTTCGGATATGCTTTGCAGTTTCTTTGCTTAGTTTGTCTTCTTCAAGTGCAAAGCCAAAGTATATCACACTCTCTTTGGGGATGTTGTTTATAGGCCATCTTGGCCATGGTGCCCACTTCTTATTGTAGCCTCCTTTCAGCCACTGGACTCTGAATGAGTCTTCAAGGATCTCTATCACAGTAGCAAGGTTTGGAGGGCGATATGCTTCTAAATTTACAGCAACCAAGTCGCCTATAGCCACTAGGTCATAATTGTCGACTCTTTGAACATCATTTTCGGGTCTTCTATAAGGACCTGTGTACACCTGTTTAAAATGTAAAAGGTTATTTCAGTTTTCCATACTTTTGTTTGAAATTAGAAATTTTCAATTAAAATAAAATAGAGATTAATTTAGTAAATAGAAATCAATAAATTATTATTAATATGATATAAGAATATAAGAACCTATTTTAGGAACCTATTTAGCCTAAATTTTCTTTAATAAGTATCATTTGTATAAGAACCTATTTCAGGTTTTTATAAGTAGTTTATTGCTGTATTTCAAATTGCATAAGGTGCTGAAATAATCAAAATAACACTTTTCTGTGTGTACTTAAATGCAAATATATCACATGCAGCAATTCATTCTGTTCTAAAATACCTCTCTTATTGGTGCTACTTGGTCTCTAACCATTTCATCTAGATCTTGTGGAACTGCTTCAGGTCTCATTCCTAAAAAGCCAGCATTCACATTTTCTTCTTGTCTTACTTGGTTTTGTTTAATTAAAAGCAAGTTTTGAAGCGGCCAGGTTGCTGGTTTTTCTTGACTTGTCCATAGCTGATTGCTCTCAAGYAACAGATCAGTCCACTCCTCCTTAATCTGTGGAGAGAACACAYGAGACCCTGCAAAAAACTTTGGCATGTCTCTCCTAAGAGAGACAAGATCAACCTTTTCTGTATTGGGAGAAACCAGATCAGGTACCTCTTCCTTTGATATAACTGCATCATCCTGCAGAGAATGACAAGAAACCAGGTCAGTTATAATAATGCAAATTTTGCATATTAAATGTTCGATTCACTTATAGATCTATGTAATTTCAATCAACCTTGAGTCTGTTCATACATAATTGTAGTACATGTACTGAGAAATAAAAATGTAACTAAATCACTAAACACTGTATTATAAATCATGTACCTTTAACAACTTCAGTCCTTCAGACTCTGCTTCTGGTTTCCAGCTCTCTGACTTATCACTACCCCAATTCTTATAATGTAAGTATACATTTCCATCTTGAGCTTTCGTTAGTTTAAAAACATGTGGATTTGATACATTGTGGATGGGGATGGTGAGAGGCTCCATCCATGCTTTTACATCATATATGGTCTTTACCATCACAGACTTTGGTACAGGTGTGTAGCAATGTTCAAGGGCACTCATGAGCTCTAACAAAAATAAACATTCAAATCATTATAAATCTCTTAATCAAAGTGAAGCTAGCATTATTTTAACTGAAAAATGCTAAAAGTAGCATGTAAGCTTCTTATAAATTGTTTATAACCATGGGCTTTATGCAGACTTCACATTTCAGAAAAATAGTTGTGACATGATAGACATGTAAAAACATAGGTCTACTACTGTTTGCCAACCAAGGCAAATTGGTTGTATTGCGTAAACTTTGAAGCTTAAAATACGTTAAAACAATTCCGTGTTTACATCGATGATGCAAACACGAGAGAAGGTTGGAAGACAGTAATGCAAAACCGACACGAAGTCGAAATGTACTTTTTATAAACAAATTCATTACAATTTCGACTGATTATAAAGCTGTGTTGTTCTGTGTACGATGCATAAGCGCCTTTTTAAGATTAGTTTATAACTTAAATAAACTTAAGTTATTTGACTAAGTTAACGTCCTAAGCTTAAATTGTGCCACGAGCTGTTTTGTTTTAAAACTCTCAACGTTACTTGCTTACTAGTACAAAGCATAGATAACACAAAAAGCTATAAATGCTCAGCTAGAGGTAAATTAATACTTACAAGCTCTCAAGGAAAACTTCAATCATCGAATTCGCGTAGATCAGCTACGTAAGTTAAGTTTTAAGCTTTTGCCTATTCCAAACGATCGTCCGGTTTACAAAGTCAACTCAACTCGGACATGAATGTTTTACTTTTATGGTAAAATTTCGATCAATTTGAACAATTAAGATACTGATACCGGGAATTCCATAGCAAAGTGAAGTATTTTTCTCTTGAAGTACAAGTGAAGTTGTCACCGTTGCAATTTGACGCTCGAGTTCAAATTCATATTTTTCTTCGTACGTATTACCGCTGACCTACCACTACCGCTGACTGCTACCACTTATAAATGGCGTACTAGAATATATTTTACCTGAAATGGAACGAATGTCTCTCTTTGCTATGTAGTCTGCAACGCTGTTCAAGGTAAAGAGCTCAATTAAAGAATTGTTTGCATGAGATTGGGTGCCTCTAGCTATATTGCGCGAAGATTACGTGCTCCGACGAAGTGCTCAAAACTTTGAATGTTTATCATGAAAACAGATAAGTAAAGACTTAAGCTACTTACAAATGCAATTACCTTGAGCACAAGAAATCGTAAAGTAATTTCATTGAGTTGATGACATTTTCAGACAATTAAACTATTATAGTTTTAAGCTTAAAAGCTTACCGGTTGAATAACTGGTCAATATCCTCATGCGTATGACCAACCATCAAGAAATTCACTTTAACCTATTAATTATGATTCAAAATGTCTTTACAATGTAGCTTGACTGGTTTTGTATACATTTCTTATTACCCCATACATAAATCTCAGCCTTTTATTAAAGATTATATTTCATGTTTTTCAGTGTTTTTTTTTTAATCTCTGTTAATTGTCAAAAAAAAAAAAAAAAAAAAAAAACAGCTAAGCTTAAATTCAGCTATCATAGCCCGGTAATTAGGCATAAAATATAGAAAGCAATATCAAGAGTGGTACTGGGCATTTAAAACAAAAAATATTAAGCAAATAGAGTTGAATTATTACCTTCTTAAAAATGTCCAGTTTGACGAGAACAGCAAGAAAATTCAGTAAAAACTGGTTTTTGTTTTCCCTCCAGCAGTTGTCTAGCTGCAGATATAGGGTATCTGGAATATAGTCCATGCTCTGCAGCTCAAGTAGCAGGATGTTAATGGTAAGGTTGGAGTCATGCGGGAACTGGAATAAGTCAAAATAACCTTTTGGTTGTCTTCCATGATTCAGAATCCCAGTGAGATGGGTTTTCATTTGGCGAGCATTGGCATAGGCATGCGCTATGACTCTCATCCTTGGAAGCAAGAGTTTTGCTTGGTCCATGCCATCCTGGACAATGCATACATATTTTTCTGGATTACTTTTAGCCTTTTCTCGGTGGTGGTAATACAGTTTTCTTTCATTCCTAAATGTACATTTAATAATCAAGAAAAATGAATTTAGTATTCTGGTTCACTCTTACTTCTACATTTCATCATAATGTTTACCTACATTTGAATGTTGTTATGGAAAGTAAACAGTCTGTCAAGGTAGTCAACAACTTCTTTGTCTCGCGCTGTTCTCTTCTCTGTACTGAGGGCTGTACAGTAATCACACCTAGTAAACCGGTTTACCTGGAAAATGGTGTGACAATTGACACATAGTTTGAAACAAATTTAAAAAACTTGAATCAAAATTTATCAAATTCTTCAGTAGGTCTAGTATTTATAGTCTATTGCATATTTAAGAATGAAATAATCAAAATACTACTGGATAGTTCACGTCAAAAATTTAAATTCTATTACTAATTCTATTATTTATAATCACAAGAATGTTTAAAGCACCTTAGGGAATTTAACATGAGGGAAAACTGTGTGAAAAAGTTTGCAGAATACACTGTAATGAGTTGGCTGTTGTCCTTTATCTTTCATCTCATCGCTCATTGTTTTATATATAGCCCTTTTATCCAGATAGCTAGGCAGATGAATTGTTCCAGCATTTGGCATCTTATCTCCAACCTGGGAATTGTTAAAAGTAACATAAACAGCAATATTCTGAAGAGTCATCCTATCTTTAATACATAGAATTAGCATGTATCAAAGTTTAATTTATTATTTTATATTATGATTTATATTACATAACTGTTAACTATTAGCAGTTATTTCCAATGAAGAAGAAATAGCATAATAACTTAAGTTAAAAACAGTTACCACTTTGAAATAGTGTTCCATCCAGTTTTCTGTAAGCAGGCGCTTCTCTGACAATCTCCTGGTTCTTGTCTTTGTCAGCTCCCTTACACCATTAGTGAAGTCCTTTGTTGTTGTATCAAAGGAGTTTTCAGTTATTCCTATCACTTTTTTAAATGCAGTGCAACACAATTTGAAACCACTCAAAAAAAATGCCATGTTCTCAAGATTTCTGAAAGGAAAACATACCAAACTATTATTCAATGAAATCCTCATTTAACATTTCACAAATTTGATTGTGCTTGAAAAGAAGAAACAGAACATAGATTATTTGAATTGTTTCAAACCTTGAATCATTAGGCCTGGCATGTTCCCACAAGAAGTCAAGCACATACTGACGAAGTTGGAGATTGTTTCGGCCCCTAAGATTCTTTCTGACGATGCACATTTCAATAAGATCCATTTTTTTTAGACACAATTGTGTGCAACAGTCTTCTCTTTGTACTGAATAAAAAGATAGAGATTTTGATAGAAACCTAAGTACATTTTTCTCAATTAGTGACATATCGAGTGCAAATGGATTATTTAAATAGAGATAAATTTTACTAATTTTAATAGTAATGGACCTGCTGCGCTAACCTTTATACATATCCCTTGCAAGTCTCTCTGCTGAGCTTAGCCGAACATCTTCTACCAAGGCTATAATAATATAAAATAGAAAGCAAGCATTCAGTCAGATAATAATAATCTCTATTTGTTTGGGTTTGATTATATTTTAATTGACAATTTTACTATTTCAAATGTATATGTTGTAGTTCAGGTTCAATATATTTTTGAACCAGTTTAATCTAATTTGTTCCAGTACAAGACTTCTTGTACTGGTCTTTTTTTTTTTCTTTTTTTTTTCTTTTCTTTTTTTTTTTTTTGCTTTGGCATTCTTAAAAGAACTAAAAGAACTCTATCCCATCTCATTCTCTCCCATTTTCTATCTATCATCTTATTTCCTACCTTCTACTATTTCCTACTTTATCTTGCCCTATACCCCACAGAAATATTGATATTTTCTATATTTTTAATTTATGAATAACACTTACCTTCATCAGGGTTTGAACCACTGAACTCTTGCTTCATAGTCCACAGTACTACCAATTATACCATCAAGGATTTTGTTGGTAGTAATGTTTGCAAATTGTTTTTATCTTAATTGTAATATATTAATGAAGAAATTTTTAATATAATGCTGACCCAACCCTAAACCTAACCCTAAACCTAACCCAAAACCTAGCCCTAAACCTAACCCTAAACCGATTTGTACTGAATTGATTTATATTGGACTGGCTCAAAATAAACTGAACCAGATCAGAAGAAATTGAACTGATTCAATATCATATTGAACCTGAACTACAACATATATATGCAATCATTTTTCATAAAAAAAATCTGATTTACACAAAACCTATTTTAATACACGTTACTCGATACATTCCATTCTAGCCTACTTTAGAATCGCAGAAGAAAAAAAAGCACACATTTCAACATCGTATTCTAAAAGCTAAACTCGTTTTGTAATTTCTACTGACAAAAATTAACTTTTTAGTGAGCATTGTTGTGTAGACCATTATTTTTTAGAAAATGTCTTTCTTATTGTCCATGATGAGCTTATCTACTCCGTCCCAGTAACCCTTTTGCGAAACAATTGTCCTATGTTTCATTGATTTTAAATGTTTATCTAAGTTTTTGATATCAAACTCTTGACAATGTTCACAAAACAGCGTTTTTTTCTTTTTTTTCTTTGTTTCTCCTTTTATTAAAACATCTTGATCGCTAAATGTTATGGTTGGCCATTTCTTGAATTCTTTGAATATTGGCCTGTATTGTCTGCTTTGATCTTCTATCTTTATGAAGGGAGGCTTCAGTTTACGGACTTTCACCGTAGCTTTCGTATTCAGTGTTTCTGGCTTTTGGTTCATTTGCCTCAATAAATTTCTTAAGTCTTCAAAGGAAAGAACTTTCAAGCCATTCTTTAATGCAGAACTTACCACTCTTCTGTCACCGCTGTTCATGTTTTCTATTCTCTTATCTTTTACAACTACATGTGTTATGGTTCGGATGTCATAGAAAAGCGCGGTTTTCCCGCCCGCCTTCGAAATTGCTCTTTCTATCTTGTCGTTAACATTTAACATGAAAAATGTTTTTTCAGAAATAGTGAATGAATTGTCTTTTATGTGATTACCTTCGCTGTTATCAGTAGTTGTTGTTGAACGTTCCGCAGTCGTAGAGCTTTGTCCATGACTGATGGTATTTATAACTCCCGACACATTTGGAGTGCTATCGATGTCTTCTGCATTCGATCGGCGTTTCTTGCAAGGCGTACTTGTTGCCAGAGGACCAGGTTGTTCTTGGTAGTCGAGGTCCTCAACAGACGATAATGTATTAATCGTCCCTTCGATTTCTGAACTGATACTCAGTGAATATGGTTCTTCAATAATGGATAGAGTGTGCGGATCTTCAATGGATAAAGTGCACGGATCCTCAATGGATAAAGTGTGCGGATCTTCAATGGATAAAGTGTGTGGTTCTTCAATAGATGTAGAATAGGTAGAGAGTAGTTCATCTATTGTATCATCCATGTCTCACTAAATAAGCCTGAGTGATGGCATTGGAAAACCAAACTCTCTGTCTCCGGCACAGAATCAACTCAACTTGACGTGCAAACTTCACACATTACTATAACATGCATCCGGTACTGTGGTCAAATAGGCTGCTGATGAGACATATGAAATAAACAAATGAAACGCTGAACAAAATGAAAAAACTACGAAACGATGTACCGTATTTATCGGAATACAGTCACGATTCGACTGGTGGAATTAAATTAAGTTACTTTTTGTAACTTTAGAAAGCGTTTGAATATTCTTTTATTCAGTGTTGTTTTATCATAGAGCCGATAAAATGGAACTTATCACGTGGCCGGCATGTAGCATGACAGCTTCCAGATTATGACATGTACGCGATTTCCTGGATTAGGGCAAAGTTAATAGATGAACTATGATAAGGGAATGTTAAGAATGTTCAGTAACTTCCCTATCATTACCGCATAATATTTTTGTTAAGATGTTTAATTATAGCATCCGACAAACTGATTTCATAGATAGGTAACTTTTACATTTTCATTATATAGCTTGGAAATAAACAATTATCAGTGACTGTTCACAAAGGGCGGGTGTGGGCAAAGTCATAACGTACTTTATCATCTGTCAATCATGCATTTACCGCCTGTTTCATTGGTATCCTTAGGGTATAATAACAAATTTTTAAAGATCATATTAAAAGTTCTCACAATTTAGGGAATTGAAGTCGGCCCCTCTTTCCGAAGTGCTTCCTTTCATATTAAAAATACGATCGAAATGATCTTTACAATACCAATAACTAGTCTCTTCTCACAGCCGCGACTTCCGGTCTCGAAAACGGACTTCAAACGTAATGACATTTTTGTTGACAAAGTTGGAGGTTTAGGCGTATGTAAGTGGTGATGCACATGGTATTGTTAGAATCTGTAGTGGATATCTTTTTAAAGACAGTGATTTGTAGCAATAGCTTAAGTTTGAAATTAGTCCTCGAAAGATGGGTGATTCGAATACCCCGAGATCAGCGACAACGACCGTTGGAAGAAAGCCTCAAGGAAAGAAATGGCACTTCAAGAAAGAAGGGGTTTGTGTTAAAACAGTCTATCACCACAACAAAGAAGCTATTCTAACTTCCAAAAAGGCTGATCCAGGTTCTGTTCTATCAATATCTGAAAAGGATGGTAGCAAAATTTTGGTAAGTCTAATTAGTTCGGCTTCATGTTAAATTCGATAAATAAGCTTATTTTATAGTTAGAATTATTTTTATTCAAATAAAACTTGGCTGAATTGTGTCTATGTTAAGGCCGATTTAGACGGTGCAACTTTTGCCTACAACTATCGCATGCAACATACGTAAAGTCATCCTTATAACATGGCTACAACTGTCGTAGGGTTATCAAACAATTGTGATATCTACGACAGTTGTAACCATGTTGTAAGGGTGACTTACGCATGTTGCATGCAATAGTTGTAGGCAAAAGTTGTACCGTCTAAAGAAAATCATTTTACTAGGTCGCATATTCAACGGGAAAGAAGATAATGCTCGATCTCATGTATTTCACGCCATTTGATGAGACAACAAAGATTCTCCACAACGAAATAAATGATAGTGCCCGATTCGTGGCTAGAACACAAGAGCTGTATAAATTAAAACAAGATTCCAGTACGTCAAAAAGAAAAGCAGCAGCTGATCCTCCTAGACCACCCACACGAAGGAGGATTGAGATCAGAAGTTCAGACCTCGATCTTGACATTAATGGCGACGCCGATGGCACTGTGAGCGAAGCGAGAAGTTCTGAGTTATCTCCAACTAACAGGCCTCCCGAATCACGTGTCGTCGAAGAGCTTCAAGGAAACACTGGCACCAACGAAAGTCTCTCAGAAGACATGGTACAATATCTAATAACTACTGATCAAGGTGAGTCTTTTAGCAAACCAGCGTTATAATATCCTAGTATGCATTACATTCATGTTTAATACAGAACAAAGAAAATTCGTAAGAACTCGTATTATACAGTATCAGATTATTTTTTGGATACCGTAATCGGGACCCGCATACTGAAATACCAGCCTAAAACGAACAGTTGACGAAAAGGTTTTTAGCGACGTTTAAGGTGTTTCGATCGTAATAAATAGCGTTTCGCGCGTATTTTTAAACTCCAACTACGTCGCAAATTTCGATTCAATCTTTAACCTAAAATTTCGAGTTGTTCGAATGTACATCATTTTGCTCAAACAACTCGAAATTTTAGGTTGAGATTTTATTGAAACTTCGTCAGTATAAGAAAATATTCTGAATTTATACAATCTCTGCGATGAGTTTCGAGAAAATTAACTTTGAAGAAAAATGAAGGTGTTTTTATTTTGCACCGTTTATCCAAATGGCTTCGCTTTTTGGCAAATTAATTTATCAACAAGAACTATCGATAATCACTGTTACTTCTGTGGAAATTTGAGTGCAAATGGAATCGAAATTTGCGACTTACATGTAGTTGCAGTTTAAAAATACGCGCGAAGCGCTATTTATTACGATCGAAACACCTTAAGAGCGCGCTTAGGGACGAATTACGGGTCATATGATAAACCGACTTACTCGTTTTGGCACAAATCATAAATACTTAGATCTACTAAATTTTTACATGTATGTATTTTAGAATAATTGATTTGATTTTTTGGATATGAATTTGATTTGTTTTAGTGCCAATAAAAGTTCTTGTTACAAGTTTGAAGGAACCAAGGGAGGGATTTGCCCTTAGAGGGATAGATGACAAATTTGTCATTGGATTAAGAAAAGAATTCCAAACAAACAAGGCAATCTTCACAAAGCCTTTGGTAGCAATTGTGAGTGGTGTCAACAATATTGGGGAATATGCTCATGAGCGGTTGGAATCATACCAGCTTGAAGTTATAGGGGGAAACCATCGTCGAGTTGCCATGCAAGAACTATATCAAGAAACAAAAGAGGAGCAGTATAAATGGGTGAATGTGCTCCTCTACACTGGTAAGCAAAAGCCCCAATTTTTACATGATCATTATTATATGATAATTTTAAGCTTTGGTAGAAAACTTTGGACACTTTTTTGATTGTTTTGATCCTCACATCTTTGCTCAGAATTTTGTTAAAATGTTCTGTTTAACTGATTATTGTTAGAAATGCCCAAAACAACTGCACTTAAACTGGCTGCAAGACACAACAGGATGGACCACTATTGTCATTTCATGACAGATCAGGATAAGGTTACTATGAGTTAATAATTATATCTCTTTCTAAAAATTTGTCAGAGCTGAGACTAATGCTCCAACAAAGCAAAAGTGACGCCCGCTTACAGAATTTTTTATGTYWAGCCCATTGCTACCAKGGTGTTTACTTTGCTGTATTTGAATATCTATAATTTTATGAATATTCTATACATTATTCTGATGGTAGCTCAGAATCTGCCATTGATTCTTATTTCTTTTTAATCTCTGATACAAATAATTATGTAAATGTACAGGTCAAACTATGCAACAAAATACTTGTTGATGACTATAAAGGGGCCAAGTGTGGAAAATGGCGGGATCGCTGTGCTGAAATACTTGATTCAAGTAAAGTGAGTTTCCTTTTAGTGATCCAGATGATTCTGTATTAGATGTAAAATAACTGAGCTACACAAAATTGCACATCATCATTTGCATGATCACTAACCTCCATTCCCAATTATATTATATGGTGGTCTACATTGCTGAACTTAACTTTTTGTTTATAAAAATGCAAGTGCAAGTCTTCTTTCTCTCTAAACTATTAAATGACTTTATTGCTAACATTTAGATGATTTTTTTTTATAAGGACAAAATGGAGTTTATTTTCATGTTGAGCTCCCTGAGGGAAGATGTGTTCAACATGTGGCTTGACGTTGTGACAGCCTATGAAACCTTCAAACTAAAGGGTCAGGTGCCAACAACAAAGCAAAATAGGCTTGCAATTGATGGGGTGAAGCAGAAACCAACCCTTACTGCTTCTAGGTTCAAATGTATCAGAGGGCTGCCACACGAAAGTATTGTAGATCTTCTAACAGAAGTAAGACAGAGCAATTTGAGTCTAGCAGAAATGAAGACAAAAGCAGAGGAATTGAAGGCTATTGGGACAATCAAAGCTGAATTTGTGAAGCTAGCAGGAATGAAAACATGGGAAGAAGTCAAGCAAAGGTATAATTATTTGAAATGGACCATGATAGTTGTAAACACTGTCAATACATGCTTTTAAAAACAATAAATGCTTTTAGACACAATAATTGAATGTTGCTAGATTTGACAATTATATTTTCTTTCTTTTTTACACTTTATAAATTCAATGCTGAACTGCTTGATGAAGGTTGTCCAATGCTCTTACAAATTTATGCCATATATTATTATATTGTATTATATCTGCATAACAATAGATTAACAGTGAGTTTATTAACAGATTTCCCCTTTGGAGCTCAACTGAAAAGCTAACACCCTATTCCAAAGAGGTAAAAGGTGGAAAGGCGCCTCAACATTTCACTGATTTTGTACAAAGGTGTTTAAGGTGCAGCTCATCAACTGAAAGTGGTATGAATTTTTTGTTTAATTTACTTCACCTCTTCCTTATGTTTTTATGTATTTGGTGTACATAACAGCATATAAATTCAATGGGTCAAAGTATTCAAATTTTGAAAGTATATCATAAATGCAAAAAGTATTCTAAAAAAGCACAACTCTGACATGAGCTACTGTAGAGATATAACACAGGAATTATTTGGTAAATGCATTCTTGTTTTTTTATGTAACTAGGAAATTCAAATGCAGTTGACACCAATATCATACAAGCAGGTGATGGAATTTGGTATAGTGCCATTGTGGCAAAGGAATCAAGAATCTCTTCCTCATTGTTTGAATATGAGAAATTTGGAGGGGCAGATCTTGTCTTGATAAATAATGTAAAGGTAAAAAGGTTTGCTACAAGATAGTTTAGCATTGTAATGAAACCCAGTAAACACCGTCCTGTAATTAAGTACCTTTTTTTCTGAATACCTGACAATGGGAAATTTCTTTCGAGAGGTTCTTAATTGCAGGTGTCTACTGTATATTACATAAGTAATTCGTTGACATGAAGTTTTTGCTTTTGATTGCATTTGTTAACTCTCTGTACATGTAGTTTGAAGACTGCATTTCAAATACTTTTATGCATATGTAATTGATTATGCTAATTATAATAAAGAATTAAATCAAAAATTGATTAAGTTTATTACAAAAATGCATTATCAATCATTTATTTTTCCCCTACATGAGTTGTTTTTAATTTGGAAGTGTGTTTGATAGAGTATCATTTGCCATTGCTCAATTGTAAATATTGAAAAAAAATATTTTGATCTTTTTAGGACCTGGATGAAAACAGCATAAAGGGATTGGTAAGGGCGGTCTGCAGTATAAACACCAAACACAAAATGTGCAATTATATTATTGCAATCAGACAAAATTTTGTTCAAGGACTAACCGAATGTACCCCTGATGGGAAAGAGGAAGTTCTCTATGTTGGATTTCCGAAGAAAGAATTAAAGCAAGGTGCGTATTAAAATAACATCTTCTAGGTGGGGTGGTTGCTGACCCAAGCAAAACATGATTAGTGGAATGATGGATTTTTGATATAACTCATTGTTGCAAGCGAATGCAGTATTTACTTTCATTCTTTCATAACTAAAGTATGATATAAACAGCGACGAGAGAAGTCGTGCTATTTTGATTATCTTGTGTATCTTGACCTGAAACTAATTCGTAGTTGCTTACATCCTATAACCATGAGATTACTAATTTGATAGTGCTAAAAATGAATGATGTAAATTCCTTTGTTTTCTATTGTCTAATCTACAGTTTAAGTGTTAGTACGGAATAAGTTTATAAGGTATTAAAGTGCTTCATTAGTAAAGTGGTGTCAATGAAATCTTGAAATGAATATATATATAACTTTTTATTAGTTTAATTGGTTTTGCCTTTTTCTTCAGGTACTGCTCTCACACAAGCCACCGAAATTATTACAATAATTGCGGTAGGAAGGCCAATCTTAAGGTGTCACAACTTTATCGTTGCCGAAGACGAAAGATCGTTAATGGCAATCTTTATGGACAAGTTTTTGCCTTTCCATGGAACTACAGTTGAGATTGGCACCGAAAAAGGTTAATATGATTTGTTCACGTCGTGTGCTTGTTTTGTTGTACTGTATATTGTATTTCCATGTTCTGTTTTTGTAGGTTTTAATCGTATGCTTTCTCTTTGTTTTAGATTCGCTATACCTTCTTGATGCGGCATTTAATGCCAAAGCTAACCTTATTTGCGTCTGTAAGGACAATACAATTAAGGAGAAGTTCATAATCCAAGCCAAAAAACTTCTTCAAGTCCAAGAAGAAAATGACAATTAACTCCTATGTAACTTTTTTTTCACTGATTAAAAACATTTTAGTACCATAGTAAACTTTTGGCGGTTGATGATTTTTGTATATTTTTGGCTTCATCAATCGAAACAAAAAAAAAGTGCTCAGCAATTGCCGAAGACATTTTAGAGTTCAATGTCGTGATAAAAAGTGAAACTTTACCGTGTACAACGAAATATCCTCAGCAATTACCGAAGACATTTTAGAGATCAATGT